TTTAAAAGAAGTATTTTCACTTGTTGAAGAGAAAAGTGCTGCATTACAAACCAGTGGTTTGACCCAACTTAATTATTTTAAGCTTTTCCACAATTCTAGTATTAGAGGCATTAAAATTTCATGTGTGATTTTTCTGATGTTCGAAAATAATCGTCAATTATTACTTGTCTTGTGATTACATGTATAATTTATTTCTAATTATATTCCAAATTATTTTTAATTGCAAATATGATATTATTGTGTGACGTGAAATCGAGTCAAAATGATCTCCGATTTATTTCGCTTTCGTGATTAAACTGATTTAAGTTAAACTATTTTTTTTTTTCAAATTTTAGTGAATAGTGAGTTTTACCGATTTTTGCTTGAAGATTTTAAATTCAAAATTGAAAATAGGATATTTTAGTACTTGATTTTGGGCAATAAGAGCAAATAGTGAAGTCATTTTATCAGTACAGCTACAGCTCCAAACATCTTGTAGTATACCACTGTTTTTCAGTGTATTTTAGCGAAAGTAGCGAGCTATCAATTTGCGAATAATATAACGTTATTAATTTTTGCCAAAAAACAAGAATATTAAAAATTTCAGTTTTCATATTGAAGATTTATAAAGAATGTTTAGAAAAAACAAATATATTGTTATCAAAAATGACTAGAATTGAATTCTTTAAGTAAGAAGTTTAAAATTTTCAAATTGCAAATGTGCATAAATTTTATTTTTATTTATTCAAGTTCATTGAAAGAATAAAATAATATGTTATTGTTATTATGTTTAAAACTAAATTGAAACAAAAGAATTGAAAATTAAAAGAAACATGCTAAATTTTACCACGTACATAACATGTGTGCATAAGCAATTCAACAACATTCGAATACTACGAGTATACCATGAACGTTAGTGTATACTACACCAAGTCATTGCGAGTCACTCGTCATTGAGTATGTACATGTTTATAAACATAACTTTATATATATACCTTGCAAATTATGTCGTATATATACTCGTACTTGTGTGTTTTCTCTAAAGAACATGAAACGATGTATGTAGGTGTTATTGACACCATTTACAGTGATTGAATTATGTTCTTTTATTAATATACAAATAGTCTGTGGTTATTTCTGTATTGGAGAAAAATTTATTTTTTTAAATTATATTTTGCTAATGATTTGGAAAAGTTTGTGGCAAACGTAACAATAGTGAAAGTATTCCATACATACAATTTATTTTTATTTCGTATGTTATGATGACCCCAGAATAGGTTGATATGCGCGTGGTGTTTCGTTTTATTTATTATTCCTAATATTTATACGAGTACGTTGAGTTTTGTCATCGTATTCTTATAAATATTGAGTATATAGTTAAATGTACATGCGGAATATGTACAAGATGATTCCACAAATCATGTGAGTTTTAACAAAATTTCTTATTCGAGTGATTATTTCACATTTTCCACTGAAATAGCAGTATTTTTAATTAAACGTCTTTTTTTTCAATAAATTACAATTTATTTTTACCATTTGTAATACTGGGAATAGGATTACAATTTCTATACCATAATAATTTATGCATCTACATATTTAGTTATTTGAAGATATAATATCATTGATATAGGGCAACGGATTGATTTCTGCATCTGTCTTGTTTTCATTGATAAGTATAATACTTATAAAAAACGTTTGCAAGGTTTTATAAAAATTTTCTAGCACATTCTAATTAAATAGTAAACAGACTGGTTTTATCAATCTTAATTTTTATGCAAGATTTTCTAAACTTTTGTTTGATTCTTGCATTTACACAGTTACAGCAACATATTAAAAACTTACTTACATTTTTATAATTTATATGGAAAAATAAAACAAATTGTAAAGTTAACCTCTTGGATGGCTTTCAAAAGTTAAACATCTTACCAAAAAAGTTAAAACCGGGATTGCTCGTCAACGAGCTACTTTCTTTTAATTCGAAACTTCTTAAACTAATCATAAATTTTTTGTTTTAAAAAAATTCACAAAATTAGTCAATTCTGTTATACTTTTCGAAAAAAGAAACTTATAGTTTCTGAAAAGACTTATTCGATTTTACGTAAGACTTTGTGATTTTAGATACTTATAACTTTAAATATACAGTACTTTATACAGTACTTTGAGATCGTGTTTACACTAATTTGCCCGCAAATTTTCGATCTAGATATTAGAACGATTAAAAAAATTACAAAAATATTAAAAACAGAACAAATAAAGATACACAAACAACGATCACAATATTAAAAATGAAAAATAACAAGACCCTATAATGTTTTTTATGGTTCGATAAATTAATTGCATATTAAAAAATTTTATACTCGTATCTAATTTTTATTACAAAATAGTTTTGCTTTCATGTTTGAATGTAAATAAGTATGTAAGATCATGTGTTTGATTTAAATTATATTTGCGTTTATTGTAAAATTTAATATGGTCATCAATGTGTGAATCACATTTATTCTTATGAGAGAAAAGTGAAATAAATTTTGTTGTGATGGTACATACATTTAATACCTGGTGGTTTTGTCTTCTACATGCCATCTGATCGCATTATTTGTTTTTACAGTTAAATTATTAATCTATAATAATTATGTTTTCGCTCCGGAAATAGCCTTTACATACATCACAACATATTAGAGTTAATAAAAATTGTATTTGCATTATTTATTATTTTAACATTACGCGTAATGTTTAATGGAAGCAGCTCTCATTATTGTTTAGTATAATTGCGCATATTGCTGTGTGTTACAGTTAGTTTAGTAAATTTATAAAATTTTGATTTTTTTCTGCACAAAATTTGTTTTTATCAATTTAATTAAGTAATAATTTAATATTATAACTACAATAATTTCGAACGGAAATATTTAAGAGATAATTATTGTATTCAGGAAATTAAGTTAAAATGGTGCTTAATAAAGTTATTAGGTCAAAGTTTTATGTAGCGCAGCATTTCGAAAGTACAAAACACCTGAACATTATTTAGTTTACATACATATGTATGTATTTGCATTAATTAATTTATGTGTATACGAATAAACTTTATAGGAAATTAGTAAAAATTGTTTATAGTTTCATATTCATTTACATTTTTCAATTTTATTGGATCTGAAATACTCAAAACTATGCAATTGTCTCCAATTTTGCAGTTTGTATTTAATTTAAGTTAATATAACAGAAGTATAATTTTTCATGCATTTACACAAGTTTATGATTTTGTGAATAAATAAAGTTTAGAAACGTAAATTTCTTTCCATGCGTTCTAAATGATAAATTAATTTCGAAAGGAAAGCATCTTTATGCATCTGGGCCTCCATATTAATGTTATTTATAAATACAATGGCATTAAAAAATAATTTTATGGTTTTATGTCCAGTAGCCTAAATATCTGGTGCGTTTACTAGTGCACAAAAATTAAACCTTTTATACAAGTTAAACATAATATAGGTTTACTTTAGTTATCATAATAGTATAATTCAACTTGCGTTTTCATTTCAATTCCGATTAAACAAATTCTGATTCAAGAATTCAATTAAGAACAACCTTTTAAAAATGTAACTCTGTTTTCAAGATTTTGTCAAGATCGCATTGCATTCCATAAGGGAAGGGAGGTTCTATGAGTTTTCAATGGAAATGCATTCCTCTATGGTAGGAAAACGTAAATCAATTATTTTTAAAAAACTGCCTACATATATGCCTGTCTATTTGTCTATCGGTCTGCCAGTTTGTCAGTGCACCTCTTGCTTCTCAATTTTACCTAAAACGATTTTAATACAAATCGTTAAATCTGAGTTTGTTTTATATTATTTATTTATTGTTTAATTTCAGAAAATTCATCTAATATAATAATTGTGTATACATATAATATCTATACAAACTAATTTTTCTAAAAACCAAATTGCTTTTTTAATTTCTAAAATTTTTTTATGTGTTTTTTAGCACTTTTCCAAAGAATTTTTGAAAAAAAAGTGCTTATTAGTTTCATTTTGTACGTTCATACGTCCGTGTACATGTTTACAAAACATCTACATCTTTGAAGGCTTTGAGAATGCTGAAATTTCATATGTACATAGATCTTTACTAGAAATCTATTTCTGTAGGAGAAAATTTTGACCTATCTCATTAGAAATGACACCTTATACATTCGAACCCGCAACCCTTTTCAAATTTCTATAAACGCAGAAAGCTAATGGTAAACTCCACGCCATGAAAAAATATAATTATTTTTCTTAACTGCCACAATTAACCCTTAAAATCGAGCATGTTAACACCCTTTTAAATATATTTGTTTTTTATTTCAAAGACTGAATCCTAATCGCATCAAAATCGTTCATCCTAAATGTGTGCAATTTTTGAAATATATTCGAAATTTTGAAATATATGTATGAAAGTAATTTCAATAATGCAGTACAGCGCCAGATTATTTTTAAAAGCAGTATTTTCACTTGTTGAAGGGAAAAGTGCTATATTACAAACCATTCGTTTGACCCAACTTTATTTTAAACTACTTTTAAACGCATTTACTTTTTTACAATTCTTGATATAATCCGGTGATGTGTCAGATATCCTTACTACACTACTTAAGGCCTTTCTGCACTTCATAGATGCACATACTTACTTTGTCATAAGACGTGTTGATTAATACTTTTGCGGTATCTCAAGCCTCAGCAACTGGATCTTTACTATAAACCATTTTCGTTTTTGATAACTACACTGACAAAAATATTGAGATTTTCAGAGATATCGGACTTCTGATAGCGAACCTGAAGAACATAATTTGTTTAGAACTATACATTAGCAAAAGATTTCTACTTTAAAAGCATCTTCACAAACCTGATCATTGTACTGACACTAATTTCCGCTTGAGTTTTAATTTTTAAGCAAATGATAAACAATTGCATATTTAAACATTTTTTTATATTAATACATACATATTTGTTTAAATTTTTGATATTTAAAACCATTTAATTTCATTATACTTTCAGTTAAAATATGATTATTAGGAAAATTATACTACCAGTTTTAGTATTATTTGTATGGAATTGTTTTGGACAAAGTGCAAACGAATTAGATGCCAACCAACAGCAACAGAGTTTGTTCCAGCAGCAAGAACCGCGAGCATATGTACCAGATGCACAATATTTAGATTTTGTTTATCACGATCATGATGAGTTAACGAGATTTCTAAGAACAACCAGTGCTAGGTATCCTAATTTAACAGCTTTATATTCTATTGGTAAATCTGTGCAAGGACGTGATCTATGGGTAATGGTAGTATCAGCGTCGCCTTATGAACATATGATCGGCAAACCTGACGTCAAATACGTTGGTAATATACATGGAAACGAGCCGGTTGGAAGAGAACTTTTATTACATTTGATACAATATTTTGTTACTAGTTATTATACAGATCCATATATAAAATGGCTATTAGATAATACTAGAATACATATATTGCCAGCAATGAATCCAGACGGTTACGCTGTGTCAAAAGAAGGATCATGTGATGGTGGTCAAGGAAGGTAAGTTATAATTTATTATTACCGTTAAATTACAAACGTAACGTTATATTAGTCCTGTTATCACATTTTATTCTTCTCATAAGTACGCAATTTATTAATTCAATGCGTTTCAACACATACATGTATACAAATAAACATATTATATCTGGTTGTTCTAATTTTTTTTGAAAAATGAGCTCTTGGTCATTTGATTGTGAAACAAGAAACTAGATTATAAAAGACTGACTATAAAGACAAGTGTAAATCAAATTTAACCCAAATAAGATTTTATTGAAATTTGACAAAACTAGTAAAAAAGTAATTACATACACATTTTTCACCGAAAACCTCATTTGGATTTTTAAAAAAAAATTTGCAATTTTCATTGAAATGGGCAAATGCCTAGCAAAAATAAAAAATTTTATTAGCAAAATTTTTTAAAGAGAGCTAACAATTTTTTAATCATTTATGAATTGTTAAAATGTTAAATGTCAATATTGTGGCATTGGAAAATAATGAAGCTCTAAACTAATAGCCAAATTTATCAAATTCGTTATTTTAACAACAAATAAATTTTCGTTTGTAAATAAAATTTACTGATTCGTTACATAATTTGTTTTTAGGTATAATGCCAGAGGATTCGATTTAAATAGAAATTTTCCAGATTATTTTAAGCAAAATAATAAAAGGGGACAACCTGAAACCGATGCTGTCAAAGAGTGGATTTCAAAAATCCAATTTGTTTTAAGTGGTTCTTTGCATGGTGGCGCTTTGGTCGCTAGTTATCCATATGATAATACACCAAATTCTAGTAAGTATAAATTTATTTAATATTTTTTTTTTTAATATATTTTTTCATACACAGTAACTGCCTAAATATATTTATTAAATCTGCTAGTTGAAAAAATGATACAAGCTCATGATATTTATTTTATTCAATTCACTACAAAACATTTTAACAGCAATTTCAATTTTCATTTGTTTTGCAAGGGGTCATTCAACTTAATATACTAGTTTATAATATACTGAAATAAACGTAAAATAATTGAAAGTTAAATATAATATGACGTCTTTGCCATGTTTAATGTTTATTTTTTGATTTGTTTTTTGTTTAAAAGCAGTTGCACTGACTCAATTAACAACTATAGAAGCATAAAAATCACATAATATTGTTAAAAAGTTTAGAAATGTTTTCATGGTAAAGTATAGTGAACTAAAATGGAAAATTTCTGGTTACACTAATGTCGAGCTGAGTTATGATCTCAGTTAGTTCATTTTATTGCATCGTGAGTTTTTTAAGTTTTTATAGATTTCATAACAAATAACAATATATGACAGTTTGAGTTTTGTTTTTCTGTATTTTTTTTTGTAATTTGAAAGCAATTTTAAGTATAGAAGAAACATACTGCAAAATTTTGAAAATTGTAATAATTGTAACTGTTGCTCCATTTAGCAAAACAAAATTACAAAGTTAATTATGGATTGTCGCGGTAACTTAATTTCTAAAAGAATACTCTGAAAGCGTTAGTCACAGCTTTCCAATTGATGTTTTTATTTTTATCTCGATTTTCTCTCTGTGCTCTGCCTCTGTACCAGTATTTTTAATGTTGTAATACATACTTTGCAGAGAAAAATAGTATTATCAGAATAAATTTGGGGTAGTCAATGAGGATAAAATGTAATAAAATATTTGTATTGAATGCTTGTAGTCCAGAAATTATTTGTACTTATATATTACATAATTATATTGTTATAGGAAAATTTAGTTTTTTAAGTATACATATGTATTGAAATTGAACAAGGCAACTTGAACAAAATTTACAAAATCAAATTTTTGTATACTTACACACATTTATCCGAAACAAGTGTGAGTTTTGAATTCTCATGCACCGATTCTTGCATCTCGAGTAGTAAAATTTTAACACCAATATCCTATAATTTTGAAAAGCTACTCCATAACGCCAGTTCTAACTTTGCCAATCACACAATATTTTTCATATTTATTAAACACCAACGTTACCATAGCTCTTGTAAGAATTTGAGTTAATTTCATTCTCATCTATCAAGCTCATTCATTGCTCTTGTTTAAATGTCAAAACAAAAATTTTTTATTTTTAATTATTTGCACACACAATTCCCAAAACTCGTTTATATTTGTTTTGAAACAAATTTGAAATTTTGCTTATTGTGTTTTGAGTTTTAATGAAAAAAACACTAAAGAGTAGCAAAAAATAAAATTAACATCTCATTTCCTCCCACCAATATGGCTGCTGAAAGGAATATGCAGATCATCGGCACTATGTGCGAGTGAGTACTCTCCAAAACGGTATATTTTTCATCGTTTCTTCAATGAAATATTATTTCAATTACTGTGTGATTCTATAATTACACAATTTATCTTACCAATATTTTTACCTATTTTTTCAACATGTCCCCTTGGTGCAGTGTTTCAAAGTTATGCCTCAGCACCATCACTGACACCTGATGATGATGTCTTCAAACATTTATCTTTAACATATGCTAATAACCATGCAAAAATGTCACGAGGTGTCGCATGCAAATCAGCTACACCAGCCTTTGAGCAAGGAATTACAAATGGTGCTGCATGGTATCCACTAACTGGTGGTATGCAAGATTATAATTATGTTTGGTACGGGTGTATGGAGGTTACATTAGAAATTTCTTGCTGTAAATTTCCACCGGCACATGAGTTAAGAAAATATTGGGAAGACAATCAATTGGTACTTTATACATAGATATATTAAATCAAATTTAAATTTAAAATTATTTAATTTTTTTTATGTATTTTTTAGTCTCTGATAAAATTTTTAGCTGAAGTACATAGAGGTGTGCAAGGTTTCGTTATGGATCCCAATGGTGCACCAATTGAACGTGCATCATTAAAAGTCAAAGGCCGCGATGTTGGATTCCAAACAACTAAATTTGGTGAATTTTGGAGAATACTACTACCTGGCGTATATAAATTAGAGGTAAGTTTTGTAAAAATACACATGTAGTTATGAAATTACGGAAATACGCTTTAATAATTGTAAGTCATTTAGTAGTTTAAAAAAAAATTCGGATCAATAAAAAAATAATTCGTTCTAAAATACCAGCTAGCTACTATGTGAATCAAATATATCTAAGTGATATTAGAGTGGTTTTTGGGTAAATAAAGTTCGAAAAACTTCAAAAATTAAGACTTATACGGCATCTAATTCAGGTGTCTTAGAGTAATAATATCAGACTAATTTTATCAAAACGTGATATGTTTGCTTCAGACTTTCTTTGGTAAAGCTATGATGGGTAATTGCCCATGAAGCATTTTTATTACTATTATTATTGAAAACAACACGAAGTATTTATTTAATATAATTTTTAATATTTTTATTTTAGGTCTATGCAGATGGGTACTTACCAAAGGAAGTCGAATTTATGGTTGTGGAACAACATCCTACATTATTAAATGTTACGCTTCAACCTGGAAAGGTAGTAAACTGAAACTGAATTTAATTTTAATTATTGCACTAAAATTATAAGACAAGATTACATAAAATGTGTGTGTCACAAAACGTTATAATAACAAATTATAAAATAACTTTTCTTTGTAAATATTCTGCACGTATGTAATTATTAAAATGAGCACCGTTTATATTTAAGAAACCAAAATGGTGTTGGATATTAATTTTAATCGTTCTGGTATTAATTTCAGCCTGAACCTGCAAAGCAATCTGTGAAAGCTGATGGTAGAATAATTTTTCCGGGTCAATAAGAGTTTATTTAAATTATATTCTAAATCATAATAATTAAAAATAAAAAACAAACACCAGTATTTTAAATATAGAAGTAGAATAAAATTATTGAATTAGGTGATATTTTAGAAGTAAAAATTAATTAAAAATAGTTTTAATATAGAAAAATAAAAATTTATTTTATTTTATTAATTGAAAAATTCAATCAGATTAATCAATAGTATTAACTTAAGTGCTATATAAAATACTGTAAATATTTTAAATTCTAAATTGGTTTTATTTATTAATAGTGGATGTGTATATAAAAATAAATTATTTTTTTTTCCATAAAATATTTTAGTTAATTGCAACGATACTACTGGGTGCACTGTTGTAATTTTAGTAAGTATTAAAGTTGGGATTAGAAGTGTTTGTTTCAGTTGTGTTGCAGATTATCCAACTTAAGAAATGAAACCGATTCTTAAAATTTTGATAATGTTCAGTTTTTTGTACTAGTTTGTTAGTCAGGCAAGAGCAGATCCCATTTGAATTTTAAAAACAAGAAGTTAAAATGGAACCGAACTAATATTATGGGTACTAAAAACTTACGTAGTGAATTAAATTAATTTTTTAGTTGATTGATATTTTCAAAAATTCAAAATGTCGTACAATATGTCGTAAAATATTTTAAAAATATGGTGGAATTTAACAAAATTTTCATTTAAAAAAAATGGAAAATCAAGATAATTGAAATTAAAAAATAAGTACCTATTCTAAATTTTTCTTTGCATTTCCTACATGAATGATATGAAAATAACTTCTGAATTTCTTCTAAAATATGTCAAAACATGATCACACATGTTTCTTTTATATTTTCAATAAGTTGGATAACATTTTATTGCTTCTATTGCTATTTTAATTTCTTATAAGCTATTTATGGAATGACTTTCTTATTTTAAATTTTGTAAAGAGATTGAAATTTAAAAACCTTTAAATGTTTTAAATAAATTGAATAATTAAAAACGTAATTCAAATTTCATTAAATTGTTTAAAGTCATGATGTAAAACCAAAATTTAATCTTTAATAAAAATATTTTACAAAATTAAGCCTTTTACATGTAAAACAAAATTTTTTAAAACTATTTTAAATAGTTTGAAAATTTCAAAATATTGTTAATCATACAGAATGATGGGCTTCAACAAGATTCTTAATAAATTTCGAAGTACTTAACAGACAACTCTTTTATAATCTTTCGATACCTTAGAAATTACGGGTTTATATAAGTGTTTGCACTTTACTTCACTTTGTTTGAACTTTACTTCGCTTCTTCACTATAATTTTAATTTTCTATTCCGAATATTTTTCACTGTCTGAAATTTCTGAGAGAAAATCTGTTTCTAAAATTCTATTTTTAAATTTTTAATTAATCTATCATTAATAATATGAAATTATTACATTTTTTGATGGATTAATAAAAGCCTTATATTATACTGGATTAATAGAGTACCCACATTGTATTTTCATCCGGCAGATGGTGTTAGTTTAATTATTACTTATTTAAGTAATTAAACATGTACATATGTGGTTTATCTTATTAAATAAATTCCCTTTTACTTGTTAATTTAAAAATTTTGTTCAATTTATTTTTAAATTTTTTTTGATTATTGTTTAAATATGTACATATGTATGTTAAGGCTAAAAAAAGTAACTTTTATATATCACTAATTTTGAAAATTATTTTACTAATAAATCAACAGATCTAATCAAATAAAATTTATTTATTAAATTTTGTTTTTTACTTTATAATTTTTCAAAAATATAGCGATCTGATGGTGGAGCATTTTTATATCGACCAATTGCGTCGCCGCCACATTTTAGACCACAATCTCAACCACAAATCGGAAGTGAAACTGGTATCTTTACGTCGATTAGCAACAGTTTAAATAGTCTCTATTCAAATATTTTTGGTTAAAATCTACTTATGCATACATAAGTATACATACAGATATGTATGTATGTATTATAAATAAATGCATATTTTCTAATGTACACCCACATAGAAGTATAGTTTTAAAATATTAAAGAACTTATAATTTTAGAATAAAAGAATTATATGTATAATTTTCATTAAAAATAAGTTTAAGTCAAATATTCTTTTGAACAGTTTTAGGATCTCTTACGACTTTGTACTCGTATTGTTATTATGAAACTTTTTGTATTGTCGTTTTCTTGTTTTTTTTCAATATTATTGTATATGCGAATTTTAAAAATGAGTGAAAGTATTTATTTTTCAACTACATAATTAAAAATATTACAAATACTATAAAAATTAAAAATACAATGTTATAAAAATTATAAAGAAAAATAATCAAATAACTACATATATGAAGATTTCAAATAAAAATTCCAAAAAATTACAACTTAATAAAAAAACAAGTCGATTTTAATTTAAAATTTTAATTGAATAAAAGTACTTACAGTTAAAAATTTGTTATTTACACGTATCTATATACAAACATACTTATTGTAAAAAAAAACATAAGTTAATTTTGTTACGATAAAAGGTACTTTAATCCTTCAACAATAATAATTGCAATCTCAGCAAATTGTAACAATAGCTAATGTTTGATAAAGCACATGCAATTCAAACATATGTATATGGAAAACAATTCATATTTTTAATCTTAGTCTTTTTAACATGATACTGTAGAGAGGATTGATATTCATATACGTATACATATTCAAAAAATAACATAGGAAGGTAATATTATATAACAATTTCAATATCGGATAAATTTAGTCGTCCTTTTACTGCTTATATCACTTTCGATTATATTGAAACCCAGAAATGATACTTGCTTTTTTCGTACATTATAAAAAAAAAATTGATCTGTAATTTGTAGACTCGGCCAATAATGCACGGTGACCTAAATAATCTATTGTTGTGATGTAAAATTTTCATTTGTGTGAAAAGAAGCAATTTATGATTATATTTAAAATGTAAAAATGTCACTATAAAAATTTAAATTTTAATGGAATATTAAAAATGATTTTTTATATTTTTCTGTCACCAACACATTTTTTTTTTAATTTAACTTTGAGAGTTGATAAAAATAAGTATCTTCATATATATGCTTTAAGACGAACCTTTAAGATTGGTTCGAAAGTAAATATATAAAATTAGACAAAACTAAATTGAGTAAATCGATTGTGTTTATATTGCCTTACCTATAAAAACTGCTACAAATAACACACAATAATACACTCACATTCACGTTAAAATCTTAATTATTCACGGTTTCGAATTTAGTCACATTTCTTGTTCTTACACCCAATTATGAATCTGAATTTCTATGGCACACTACTTTGGTCAACAACCAATTTCTATTTAAAGTTTACTTTTATTTAAAGCACAATATGTGTGTGACTTTAATATAATAAAATCAACAATAATAAATTTATAGTAATTGATTTAACCGCAATTGAAGTAATATTAACAATTTTGAGTTTTGGATATTTTGAGTAACAAAATTAACTTACGTTTTTCTTTATTAAAAATTTTGAGAGTAAGAAGTTTTGACGATTTTAATTTACGTATGTATACTTACACACGCACAAACATATTTGTGATAATCACATTTTTGTTTTCTTATACACTGACATTAACTTTTATTAATAAATTGTTTTCTTTTTTTTAATGTCTCTAATGCTGGGACTAAATTAATATTTATAATTTTGTATATTTGTTTAAGATTTAAACAAATTTGATCAAAAAGAGAAAATTCTAAATTATATTTAAATTGCTTTTGATGAAAAATAAAAAAAATATTATAAATTAAATAATTCTTGTTTTGTGTTTTATCAATTTTCTTGCAGCATGAATTGAAATTTAAAAATTATATTACTAAAATAAAAAATTTAAAAAGCCATGTTTTTTCGGACTTAAAAAGAAAAAATAAATTTTTTCTTGGACAAGATTGACCTGCTGCACCATCAGGTGCAATAACTCTAATTATATGTCAACTTTACTTTTACCTCGCTCCCCATCTCTCTTTTTCTTCCACTTTGCCAATCTTCCTCTTTTTCTCTCCTTACAACCATATAAAAATTATTTTCAACGCTACCTGTCGGATTTTATAAACAAAGGATAATTAGGATTAAATAGTGTTAAAGTATTGCATTGTCATCGAGAGCTGACTGTGTGTGCAAAATAGGTGACTGAAAATTGAGTTATAAAATTTGACCCAAACAGACAAACACTAAAGTAAGACTTTTTTGCTTTTACGAAAGCAATTTTGTCATTTTATCGCCTGTTTGGCATTGTAGAAACTTGAAAAAACAAATTCTGGCTAATGAATTAATACAATTTAATTTAAAATAGTGGTATACTTATATTTTAAATACTTCGGATACAATGCATATTTTTCGTTACTTCATAATAAGATTGAAAAATTTAATAATAATTAAATAAAAATCTGATGTGGTCAGCACGTAACCGACCGCCATGTGTATTGTCTAGTTAAGTGAAAGTGTTACAGAATATTATAAAAATGTTTGTTAAATACTTCTTTCCAATTTTTAGAACATTAGTGAGCTCATAGTTAACATACCTAGAAAAATGTAAATTTGGCTCTTAGTATTTCCCTGAAATGCTCGCCAGTTAGTTTCGGTAACAACCAGAACTCAAATATCACATTTCGACAAATTTCATCAATTCGTTCCGTAGATATGGTGAAAAATGTAAAATCGGGCCGCAAATAAGTTTTCGAGCCCTGATCTTTCCAAAAAATTTATTAGTTCATTATTTTAATACGAAGAATTTCAATATTAAATTTCAATGAAATCGGTTGATTATTTCTCTTTATAAACGCAAGAATGTATATTTAATAAATGTATGCCCGTAGTAAACGTCTAGTTGGTGACACCTGATTTCTTCCAAAAGTTAGGAGGTTTTGCGGACGGTTGAGCTGAGCTTGTATATGAAATTTGAAGTAAATCGGTTGAATATTTTCTTCAAAATGGTCAAAGATGTAAAACAGGCCCGCTAAAAAGTGTAGTTCCCGAGGCCTGATATATCCCAAAAGTTGATCAATCCGTGCCATGGTCGAAATAAACTTACATATAAAATTTCATCAAAATCGGTTCAGCCGAACTTGAGATACACGCGTGCACACACAGACCGACAGACCGATAGGTTGCTAAAAATAGTTTACTTACACTTCCTTACTATGGAGAAGTGCATTCCCACCGAAAACTCGATTTGCAAAATTTGTTGCCATCACATCACTTACCTATTGTATACACAATACGGTCGGTAAAAAAACAAAACTTATTATAATAAAAGTATTTATGAATCTGATGAAAATATACATTATTGTAAAATAATGTCATAAACATATTTTGTGCCAATTTGTTGGCACAGCACTAAATAATACTATTCAAGTATTCTTCTGACATTATTGTTGATCTTTTGACAGAAATTCTCTGTGAGAACAATAAGCTACGTGCATCGTTCATCGTGCTTAACGAAATAATTGTGTTATAATTATGAGAAAACTTTTCTGTAGAATCAATGTCAGTATGAGTCATATCTATAAAATACGAAATATATCGAATCTATAAATTAGAAAATATATAAAATTCTTTCTAAAATTAAATACAACAATGTTTTTTTTCAGAAAGCAGTTACTACGTTATTAGTATAGGGTAAAATAAAATATTGTGCCACTAAAAGTATCAAAAATAAAAAAGAAATTTAAAACTCAGTTCGTATTTTTAAAGGTCAACATTCCTGCATTATACATGTAGACTTTAATTGCATATTGATTTATAGACAATATTGATCCGTGTTTACATCTAAAGTATTAATAACTGTAAATGTAGCAAGATATAGATATATATGAAAAATACAAGATTAACAGTTTAGCGGTTATACCCCATAAATATGTTTGTAACAAATTGCATTTTCAATTCTAATTCAGAATACTATTTTGCATACTTTGATATTTTCGATTTACTATTACAAAATTTAAAATTGCCTAATTATAGGAGAAACTTTCATAATTCTAATTTTGCATATACGTTCAAATGTTATTTAAATAGTTATCTTTTTTATACGTCAAATTATTTGTTTATTTTGTTCTTGATAAAATAACAAAATATAGCGCAACGGATGCAATTATCGACGCTCTTAAGCGATATTTCTCATAAAACTTTGCAAAAATTATAAAAATTTTAACATCGGTAAAATATAAATAAGATATTACTCTTTCATAATCATATACTAAAATTTATCAAATAGCTGTTAAATAAAAATATTAAAAATTAAGTTTATTTGCGTAAATACCAAAATGTACAATTATTGACATACTAGTCCTATGGCATAGCTCAATAGGACAATTATTGAAACCCAAATGCAGCAGTTGCCATATTTGCAGTAATACTAGTATAGTTATTGATATAATTTTTTTTTTAAAAATAGAAAATATTGCAGGAAAATTATTTTTGTATTGGAATTTAAGTTTATCATTCAGATTATTAATAACGAACTAAAATATGCAAAGTAAAATTAAATATGTGAATAAAATTAAGAGAAATTCTTTTGTAAAAATAACCATATGTAGTGTGATCTAAAAAAACATTTGTAGTATTAAATCCGAGATTTGTCAAATCTATTCGTAAATTTTGTTTAAATACTATCAAGTAATTTTTCGTACTATGTGAACTCCTTAGTTTTTCAATAAAGACTTTATGCATCTTGTACAAATTCTTGGAAAACCTTTTAGGGCAAAACAAAAATGTTGGAAAAACCCTTTATGTATTTCTTTTAAAAATTTGCAAAATGTACAATTTGTAGTTGGCGTCAATAATTGCACTTTCATAGTTTATACTCGTATGTTTACATCCCATGTTAATGATAGGAATTCTGCGAAAATTTGATCAATTAATGACAACCCTATTTTATAACTTTTAAATATTTATTTTTCTTATATAAATAAAAAATTAAACATTCATTTATTTAGAAAGTACAACAATTATATTAAAAATATCGCTGGAATATTAAAAATTACTAAATTTACATATTGAAAATCTTAATGATTTTCACTATTATTTTGCTTAAAATAAATTCTGCACTTTACAATAAATAAATTCTGCACTTAAAATAAATTCTGCAATTTTTACATTTTGAAATCAATTTAAATTTATTATATAATATAATTAAAATAAAAAAATATCAAATAATTAGAATCCACAGTTAATTTTTCTGATTAATAATTATAAATACTCGAAAAGCGCTATAGCAATTTGGGGGGTGGCAATAATTGTGCCGAATCTTTAAAGTGTCAAAGTTGTACCCGGTACAGTATATACTTATGTATATACAAATTATGAGCATCAAATGAGGCATTACGCAAGCTATTGTGGTAATCGAAAAAATAAGAAATCGGTATTTGGTCTACTTAATAGTATAAAAGCTATTACAATTTATGGGTACGCATAGTTAAATGAAACATTAAAACAAGTAAAAACGTTTCAGTCTAACGATTAAATTATATCTTGCACCTTGAGAATTTGAGTATGAAGACTTGTTTTTGAAATATTTAGAATTAGATTTTGCGCTTGTATGGCAGTTACTCGAACCTGTCAAACCATTCCACAAAAACTTCACGGATATATAGTTTCACCTTATTATGTTATACTGTAGTCATCCGAACTTGTCAAGCCATTCCAAAAAAAATTTCAAGGATATGTGTGACCTATAATTGGGCACATAATTCCAAATTTCATAAACTATTTTTATTATTTTTCTAAATATTAAAAATTTACTTTTGGAATTGTGTTGCAGCTACCCGAAACTATCAAGACATTCCATAAAACTTTGAAAATATCTCAAACCCATAATTGGACACATGACTGCCAAGTTTCATGAATCTAGCTTTATTAATTGTTCGAATATATAAAATTAGCTTTTGGAGTTGTATGGCAGCTACCCGAAGCAGTGCAGAATGGCTGATTGAAATTTTTATAGCACATATAAAATGTTATTGGACACACATATACAAATATTGATATTTATATGTTTATCAGTTCTTCAAATATTAAAAATAAACTCTTTAAGTTGTATGGCAGCTACCCAAATCCGTTGGCAGAATTGGTCCAATAACAATAGTGTTTGGCAAAAAAGAAGCAACTTGTGAAAGTTTGGTCGTGTTTGCTTTATTCTTTTTTGAGTGATCGGAAGGACATGTCTAAATCAACGGAGAATTTTACACTGACCAAGAATATATGTATATATATGTATGTCCATAGACGATTTCTTCGACTTCTTCAAGTTATTACAAACTCTATATCAAAGTTAATATACCTTCACGAAGGTGAAGGGTATAATTAAATGAGTTTATACATAAACTCTATGCTAACATTTATTTGCTGCATACTTTTTACCGTATTTTTTTGTATAACGGCGACAATCCTAAAAAATTACGAGTATACTGTTTATATCTGTTTATATACATACGTTGCTAAGCGACAGGTCTGTTGGGCTGCAATATTTCACCAATTTTAACATTAAAGCATAACAAACAATATAAAAATAAATATATATACATATTTATATTTTATTATTCAAAAACTTCAACTTTGTTAAAATTGAATCAGTTGGTTGATTAATTTCAAACATAGTGTGCTTAATAGTGTGATGAAACATTGATAATTAAAATATTTCTGTGAAAATATACTTAATACATAACTTGCTGTGAAAATAAGATTCTTTTTTATTTTTTGAATTTAGATAATAAAAGTGTTATAGAATACCAGAAAAAACTGTCAAATATTATTTACTAATGTAAAAAAGTTGGATAGAAGATTTTTTTATTTTTAAAAATATTGAAATTCCAAATTGTGCCATATAATGGATAGTTTAATTCAAATGAATATTTCAGCTTCTAACAATGAATTCATTGATCCCGATCATATAACACCTGCATATTTAAATTATGATTTTAAGGTATAAATATTTTAAAATTTTTTACTGCGAGGCATAAATTAATGTTTTCTATAGCATGTTCCAATCGACAAACTGACAAGAATCATACAAAGTGTAAAAAGAAATCATAAAAAATTGCAACAAATGACTTTATGTCGGAAAATGTCAAATCCAATTCGACTTCCAGAGGTAACATTATCAACTATAAAATATTTGAATGCCAAAATACGAGTAGCCGAAAGTGATCATTTAAATGTAGGAACAATTCTTGTTCCAAATTCCAATGTAAGGAAAATGACAGACACGGAAATAGATAAAGTACTTGAAAATTGCACAAATTTGCAATTTGATCACAAATCAGGTATGAAGAGTTTTAATAATACAGTTTATATATGTACATAGGTACCTTTATTTGAGAACGTCAACAACTTTGTCATGGTGCACATCTTCAACGAAAGTAACTGCAAAAATACGCACGTAACATTTTTGCCTTCATTTCAAAATTAGACGCTATTCTTTGTTTCCGATTTTTCTTCTAAAGAAAATGTCTACACCATTGAATTATATTCAAAATGACAGAGCTATTAACTTTGATTAAGTTATTTGAAGAGTTGATCTCGTATCTTAAAAATAAAGCAAATCTTTGTTGTCATTTCCTTACATACGTAATCAAAATGGTTTTTATACCCTGCACTACGTGAAGGGTATATTAACTTTGGTATGGAGTTTGTAACTACTTGAAGGAGTCATCTGCGGTATGGACATATATATATATTCTTGCTCAGCGTAAAATTCTGCGTCGATTTAGACATGTCCGTCTGTCCGTCCGTCCGTCCGTCCGTCCGATCGCACGATAACTCAAATTCATGAAACTTGGTCAGATTCATGAAACTTGGCAGTTGTGTGTCCGATTATAGATTAGATATATTTGTGAAGTTTTGATGGAATTGTTTGACAGGTTCAGGTTCTTGCCATACAACTCCAAAAGCTAATTTTAAATATTTGGAAAAATTATAAAGTCAGATTCATGAAACTTGGCAGTCGGATGTCCAATTATAGGTCAGACATATCCGTGAACTTTCTATAGAATAATTTCACAGGTTCGAGCAATTGCTGCACAATAACGAAAGGTGCAGGGTATAATTCAATCGGTTTATACCGACTGAAACGTTTTTACTTGTTAAAGTTTAATTTATTGTCAATTATTACCATGATGTTTAATTTCGTCTACTTCTTCTAAAGGTATATTATCGAAGACAATATTATTTGTAATTGCTTTTCATTTTGGTACATTTAGCATCAGTTTATTTTTCTTCAATCGGTTGAGGTTACTTAAATCACTTTTATTTTCGTCAAACACTTGTCAAGAATCATCCGCAAATAACAAAAAAATTTTGAGAATTTTCGTTATGCATTTTTGCATTTATGCTTAAGTTTAAAATAACACAATACTTCATTGTTATGTTAAAAATGCAATCTGTGAAAAGTGATCTACAACATAAATTGAATTTGTTTTCAAGCACTTTTCTCTTCCCACCGAAATTTTATAATAGATGTGCGTTGTTGTTCAGGCTTTTTATTATTCTAAAGATTTACTTTCACATTCATTTTTTTTAATTTTTTCTGATGGATTTTTTGTATTTTTAAAAATATTAAAACGAAGTCTATTAAATATTCTTTTCTTCGTGATGAAATTAAATTATTTATAATTTTAATTTTTACTTAATCTTTTAGATGCAGATATTGGAAAAGAGCATTTGAATAAACAATCATCTGACTGTTTGAGAAATTTTGTTCAACAGTTTGACTTATCTAAATTCAATCAAAAAGAAATCTCACAAGTACCTGATAATCAAAAACGAACTTCTAGTAGAAGCGAAGAAAGTGGAAGTACATCTACACTGAATTTAAATAAAAAAAATGAAAAAGAATTTAAAAATTTTGAACATGAAAATGATATTGACGATAAAACTTTGGACGCATCCGAATTACGTTTAAAATTTCTAAATGATTTTACGCAGAGATATATTGTTAGGAAAACAAACGAAAATCAATCGAATACCAAATCCTTTTATCCAATAACACAACAGCCGGAGTATAAAGAATCAACAACAACAGTAAATGCTGACCAAAAAGATTTGCAACCAAAAGAAGATGCTGATGAGTTGCATATTAGTTTAGAAAGCTCTTCAGAATCAGTTGAACTTTTAAGTAAAATAGGCTTATCTTTCGAAAATGAAAATAAGAAAAAAGAAGTCTGCCAAATTAATTCTAAAATAGATTATGTTGCACAAGATCTTGCACAAGAAAATAGAAAATCAAAAACCCAAACAGAAAATCTTCAAGATTTTGAAATCGGAAATGTACGAATATTTTCATCTATCTCAGCTATTTCAGATACTTCAATTAAGTCTAACAATTATGATTCCAACGAAAGCACTGAAGAAAACTTTGAAAATTATTTTTCTAGTAAAATTAAAAATAAAGTAAATTACATGTCCAAACAAAGGGAAAAATGTAGTCCCACTAAAAATATACAGGAAAACAATAAAACTATTGTTGGAGAGTTCTTAGCGGATTCTGCTACAAAAACTGAAATTAAAAGTACTGAGCTTAAGACTTTTTACGAAGAAACTCTTACAGAAGAATATGGCAGAAAAGAAACAGAATGGAAACGTTGGCTGGAAATTGAAAAAGATGATGAAAATAAAACTGGAGAAAATACCTTATCCGATTTTGAGAGAGTCGTGAAAACGAAGGTACTTTTTCCAGTTATTTTAGTTTTAATCATCTTTCTATTCCATTCCAATTTTATTTGTCCAACGTAAGATTTTAGTAACTTAACATTTATTCAACAATTCTATTTTTATAACTTTCTACAGCACGTAACATGATACATAAGCAATGTAAAAATAGCAATTATAAAAAAGGAAAATTACGGTGTATTTTAAGAGACAAATTTAAGATTTCTTAAATTTGTAGTTTAAGTGTGCTCGAGTATTAGTTTCTTAGTTTAACCCATAGCTATAATTTTAAGGAATAAGAAAATGTTTGTTTTAGATCACTAATTGATTTGATTTTAATACATGAACTAAAATTATAAAGTAAAAATCAAATTTGTTTCAGATTCCGGAAGGAAAGACGAATGTGTTGCACAGAAATCATGACTTTAAAGTCTCAACAGATGATGATGTGGAAGTTTCGGAAAATAAATTTTTTTCCGAAACAAAAATAATTTTTGAACAAAAAGAAAATCGATCAAAATCACATCTAAATAAAAAAACTATGGTAACTTGACAAAATTAGACAAAAATTTAATCATCCAATTTTTTTTGTTAAAAAACTGTCAAACATTATTTGAAAAAAAGAAACAACTCAAACATAAAATTTTTATTTTATAAAATATTTTTTATAGTAATTACACATTTCTTGATATTATTATTTCAGGTTGATTCAATGCCTCCAGAATATTCTACAAAGAGTCTCAAAAAAACTTCCAAATATGCAATACATGGAACAGATGTCGGTAATAACATGATTTTAAATATTTACGATTAAAATTATTGGAAATTTAATTGGAAATGCTCACTGCCATATGCTCCGAGGAAAGTAATGAAAAAACAATTTGCAACATGAACAAAATATTGCAACAGGGGCTTTTCATTGTTTTCTTATTCGGTGTATACAATTTTTCTAATTTGATTAATGAAAATAATATTTATTTATACAGTTCAAACCCAGGACATCAAAATGGTAAAAAGTAACGATAAAAGAACATATCGTAAAACAGAAAAAAGAAAAAAAAATTTTCGAAAGTCAATGCTTCCGATATTTTTTTCGAAACTAACCCAATTTCAACAGGAAATAATTTGTACAATTGGAAAAATTAGGTAAGAATCTACTAAAATCTATACATATGTATGTATGTATACATAGCGACAAATGTGTATTAAAAAAATTAATTTTGGAAAAATTTTCGAAACTGAATGTTATTAAAATTTTTCTGCAAATTTTCGATAGAGTACAGGAAATTTGAAGCTGTTACAGGCTGTTAAACTATAAATTATAGTCCTGATAGCTTTAATTAGCGAAAGCATTGCAAAAGTCTTAGCAAAAACTTTCATTCAAAAAAAAATTCAAATTCTTCTATTATTTAAAAAATTCTATGCTTTCAGCTATTTATAATTTAAAAAAAAAAATTTATTAATTTATAAAAAAAATTTGAAAAATAAGAAAACAGTACGAAAATAGTATATTTTGTAACCAATTACGCAGAAACCGGTTAAAAATGATGATTGTACCAGATAGCGATGAAGGCAGGAAGAAGAGTGAAATAATTGCTAATGAATTTTCTACAAGATTTACAAGAAATTACTTATACCAAATAAACAGAACGGTAAGTGAACAACATAAAAGTTATAGCAAGCCTTGTATATAGTAATTAAATCGACAAGTGAATAAAATATCAATTACACGAAATTGCATGAGCACGTCATATTGATAGATAGATTAATCAAATTATATTAAAATACAATACTCTTGTTAAGATTTTGTTCTTGCAGTGAGGGCTATAATTATTCTGGTATGGAGTTTGTAACCGCTTAAAGGAGTCATCTACATTATGAAAATGTATATATACATATATTCTTTCGCAATGTAAAATTCTGTTTTGATTCAGACATGTCCGTACGTCTGTTAGATCACATGATAATTCAAAAACGAAAAAATCAGACCCTACTAAGCTCTCAAATTGTTTCTTTTCTTCCAAGGATGGCTGATATTTTTGTTGGAGAAATTTGGGAAACGGGTTCGGGTAGCTGTCATATAACACTGCTTTATAATTTGAAAAAAGCTAAGTTGCCTGAAATGTGAGACTTATGTACCTAATTATAGTTCAGATATATAATGGAAGTAGGTATTTACAAAATGACTTAAAAAAAAATGGGGTTCTTGCTAAACAATTCTAAAAGATAACTTTAAATATTTCAAAACTCGGTTTATCGTGACATAGGGAAAAATTAAGACGGTTGTTGAAATTGAAAGACTTTAGAGTTCCGGTATTATAACGTAACACAATCATCAACACAATTTAACTTATTACTAACACAAAATGGTGACATTTTTGGTTATATACTTTTACTTAAATTCTCTATATCAATGATAATTGTATAAAAATGTTTGACCAAGCTCTAGGAATATGGAACATTGTTCTTTTGCTGATAATAAGAGTAATCCCCTCTATTATGAACACCGGTATCGGCCGATATATTATCGGCAGTTCTAATCGGTTTTAAGTTTCTTCTGTATTATGAACCGATACCGATAAAAATATTTCAACCGATTAAAGAAGCTTTTTCATACAAATTTTTGTTTTTGTAAATTGGAGAAAAAGTTTTTTTTTTTCTAATGACATTTGTTTTCTTTCAAAAGTTATTTTCAAAAAATTTTTAAAACTATTTTGAATTTGGTTTTGATGTGCTAAAAAGTTGTTGTAAGCAAATTATTTTCTGTTAAATTTGTAAAATAAAAATATACATATATCGGGAAAATGTCGCGTGCATTATATTTTGAAAGTGAAGAAACGGTAGTAAGTGAAGAAACGCAAGCTATTCAAAGACGACATATAAGAGATTCAACTAATCCATTGGATTTAGACAACAAAATGTATGTTTAGGTACCTATTTTATTTTATTATTTATATAATATGTACACATTTTTTAGGTTTATCCAGAATTTCAGATTATCATTCCTTGCCAGGTTTAAGTCCTCTTCCATTTTTTCTACTAACCGCGCAATTTGTTTTTTGTTGCTTACGATTTTACTCCTAAATAAAATATATGAATAACATTTTGAAAGAAAATAATTTAGAAAAAATGCTTACATTTTAAAAAAGCAATTAATTACACCAGTTTCCTTGATAAAATGAAGATTTTACAAAAAAAAAAATCTGTCGTCTAAAAATTTGTACCCGCTTTTAAATCGGTGAAAATCCGACAATTTATCGTTTTCATAATACCAGCTAATACGTTTCCTATACAGGAAAAAAAGCTTTCCCGACTCCGATAAAATTTACCGATAAACAATGTTGGTAATACAAACACAAAATTTTGCCGATAAATTATCGTTTATCGGCCGATACCGATATACATAATAGAGGGGAATATTTACAAAATCACAAAGTACGTACATATTTTGTTCTGATCAATGAATTTATTGAATTTTTATCTAATTTTAAATCAATAATCTTTCTTCTCCCATGTGTAACTGAAAAAATTATTATTTTTAACTTTCACAGATAGACGAAATTATTTTTGTAACAAATGAAAAGGGTTACTCAAGAGATAATTTGGATTATTTAATTAAAGTTTGCGGTTTATTCGGATTACTGCAACAAGCATTGTGCACATATAGTAAGCAAGTTAAATATTTCATATATGATGAACAACCGAAGAAATTGGGTTCATTAATCGACTGCATTATAGAAGCTACCAATATTTGTGTTGAAAATAAAATTTTTAGAGAAAATGACGAAATAATTAAGGTATTTTGTGTGTCATCTAAAAATTAAAATTCCAAATTAAATTTAAACATCACTAATCTTGACCTTAATCAATTAAAGCAATTAGTTTTTTGACATTTTATTGAAAAACATTTGAAAAATTTCTTAAAAAATTAAAAATTTTTAATTTTTATAATTTGTTTTAAAGAAAATATTATTAGAATGTAAAGAAACAAAAAATTTTGTAAGAACTTTGAAAGATGCAAGTATAATTCAGCAAAATAAAAAATCAAAAACACATAAATTTGCAACTTCTGTAAGAACATATTATTAAATTATCTTGAAAAAAATATTTTAATATTGTTATATGCGTATTGTAGGAAATTCGAAAGGACATTACATTAAAGGACAATAGATTTTCAATGTATAACAGTAAATTAAATAAAAACATTAACGTATCAAATAAAATGTATAAAAAACCTGTAGTAACAGATAGGTTCAATAATAAAAAAAAATACTCAAATGGCGTAAAATTAATAGATATATCAAACGAATTATATGGACAAGATCAGATTTTACAAAATAAATTAAATAAAAGTGAAGACTTAGGACAACCAACTTCAAAGCAAATCGGAATGGGTAAAACGGAAGAAATGTCAATAGAAAAGCAGGAAACACCGGAAAAGAAAATTGCATTGAAAAAATCAACAGAATTAGCAAACTCAGAACCTAAGGAAAATTTAAGCACTAAATCTGAGAGGGTAAGAATGTATATTCTACTGTAGTTCATTAAACAATCTATTCTACTATAGTTCATTAAACTGTCGTAAAATAAATGCTTCTATGGTCTAAACAGTTTTCATATATGGTGCACAAATTAAAAAGATTAGTATTCGCTCATAATTTGTTTTAGACTTAAGCATTTGGTTTTAACAAACTCTACGTTAAAAATGTTAAAGGTGTAAAAAGAGTCGTTTAAGAACCTAAATGTTTGCGTTGATAAGAAGTTATCATTTTATGAATCGCTACAATTACATTAAAAGGAAATCCGATTCTATGTTGGGTTTTAATAAACGCAGAAAACAAAGAAGTTTAATTATTCTTAAATTTTGAAATCTCTTCAGATCTTATTAAACCTACAAACTGCAATCTAGTACTGAATTAGAACTGCATTATCAAAAATATCTTATTTTTAATAATTTTAAAAATGTAAAATTCACAAATTCACACAATAATTTTTCTCATTTATTATTTTATTTCATTTTTTATATTAAATTTCACATAATAATTCAATTACAGGATGATTCAATTGGAACATCTAAGCAAAAAGATACGGCACAAAATTCAAAAGACCAAATTCTAAAACAATTGTTTGAAAATTTTCACGTTATTATTGAAAAAGAAGTTAAACAAGTTTTGAATCCGATCGTTCGCCAATTGAACCTCTTTGCTAAAGACCCAGTAAGCTTTTAAATTAAATTTTATATATTTTTTTTATTATTAAATAAATGCACTCGCACATACTTTACATAACGTATGTACATATGTATGTATTTATAACAATAACAAATATACATTCGAATAAATGTTTATTTTTCAATTTCAACAATAAACTTAATTTTTTTATAAATTCTGTGGCAAAAAGGAATAATCGCTAAAGTTAATTTTTGCTCAGTTTCACAAGAATAAACATAAAAATTTTCATAATTTTTTGTCTTGTTTTTTATAATTTCTACAAGTTATTTATAAGATTAAAATTCAAAAGCGGTTTGTTAGGTGACAGAATTTACTTCTACTTATGATTGTAGATTGGTTTTTTAATTTTTGTCTATTTTGTACAACTAAAACGACTTTAGCCTTCATTCAAAAATTTTTTTGTGTTTATTTAAAAGCTAATTAAAAGCCATTTTGTCTCTTCTTCCAAATTGTTTCGGAAAAGTTCAAGATACTAAAGTTTATTTAAGTTTTTGTTACAAAATTTTATTTTTATATAAGTAAGGCTTAAAGTATTAGGACGATATGTTTTTAAATTTTGCAATTGGCAATAAAAGCTAAAGTAAGTTTTGCTTATTATTCCTTGAATATAAAGCAGGAACGATTTTGAATACAATGTAATTTTGAAAGAAACGCTTAAAAACAGTTTAGCTATTTTAGCCAATTACGTTGAAATTATTTTAATGATAAAATTATATATTAACGGTTATTTCATATGCTATTATTTCATTTAACACTTTAGCCATTAGGAAAAATTTTAATAACTTTGCTAAACTAAATGATAGAGACACCAAAATTTTTTGGAACATAGATTTGAATATCGAGAAACATAGTTGTCTAATTTTTCGCTAAAGTCGACTTTAGCGATTATTTATTTTTGTCACAGAATTATTAATAGAATATATTGTATACAATATATAAATATACATACACGTTCATATAACATTTTTCGTGTTTGCTTTACAACTATTTAGTGTATAATTATTAAAAAGTCGCTTTTTCTAAATTAGGCAAAAAAAAATAAAAAAAAAAATAATTTAATCTCCTGGAATGTGTGCATCAAAATATCTTTTTTACATCTTTGGACTCCTTTAAACATTCTTTTTAACTTTAATATATTATTTTCTTTTATTATTTCATATATATTTTTTAATTATAATATGTATAATTATGATAATAATAATAATAATAATAGTAGTTGAAGTAGTAGTATTTTAAGTAAAATTTATTTTTTTAGTTACATATTAAATTTAAAAAGCTAAAAATCAAAATAAATTTCTCAATGTTGATCGTTAAGCCATTAAAGACTTCATCCCTTTTATATCACCCTTTTGTTTAATTAGCGCAAATAGTACAAAGTGGTTTATTATCCTCTACTGCAAACGTATTTGAAGTAATTGCTTTATCGCATTTCTAAAAAAGAGAAAAAAAACCAAAAATTAATAAAATATTTAAATTTTTAAAGCAAAGAATCAAAGTTAGGAAATTAGAAAATTTTATCTTGTTAATTTAAGATTGCTTTAAGAATATTATTTAATTGTAAAAGTAAAAAAATAATTAATCAAAACAAATAATTTTCGCCGACTCTTTTCATATTTTCCAAATTCAATGTTCGGAAAAGTTTTAGAATTATTGTTTTTGAGTCTTCTAATAGTTCACAAGAAAATTCATCCTTCAGAAATTTAACAAAAGCATGAATAAAATATTGCTTTGAAGACAGTTAATTTCAACTAATTAGCTCAGCATTAACATTAATTCAATTTCGAAGTCGGAGAATCTGACAGAATTATATACAAAAAACAAATTTTTTCACAAATTATAAAATTCAACTTATAAACCGAATCCAATCATTTTATTTTTTTTATTAATTTTATTTTTTTTTTTTTTATTAATAAAACATTACAAAACTTACTTTGCACTTGAAACAATCTTTATGCCATTTAGCATCCAATGCAATAACAGCTTTATCTGTTATAGGTTTGGTACAGCCAAAACATTTTTCAGCAAACATTTGTTCAAAATCATCTTTACAATATGCTTTACCATCACGTTCGTAGAACGTTGAACCAGATAAAGGTTTTTCACAAATGCCATTACAGACAAAATGATCTTCATGCCAAGTATGTCCAAGTGCCTTAATTATTTTCTGTAAAAAATAAAGAATATTTTAATATTAGACAATATAAAATTATTTTTTGATTATCATGCTCGGGAACAATGCAAAACTTTTCATATGAATAATTTGCTATGACTAACAATTACCTATAATCTATGAAATATGCGTTGCCGAAACGAGGCGATTTATTCTGGCATATACATAGAAATAAATTTTCTTAGAAATAATAAGAGGAATAATTTTGAAATAAATAATTAAAATCAATTGAACATTTAAAAATCAACAAGTGTTGTGTACTAGCCAATATTATTTTGTGCTTTTACCAACTATTGTAGATGAGGTATAATAAAGTTCCAAGTTTGCGATGAATCATTTAAAAATAAAAAAAAAAAACATTTGTTAAAGTCGTAAACAAAACTATAAAAAAATATTTATTAGTAATGTTTATAATTAAAAAATATTTATTGTAATTATTTATAAAACTTTTGACCGTTCCCTATGTAATTAAGTGTTTTTCACATGTAAAATTCAATCACTAATTACAATGATAAGAATATGTATGAGATTCTTTAACAATTTTCCCTCATAAGAGCATTTCTTTAATTTAAAAGAATGAAGGTCAATTGTTAGAACGTCCGTCATAAAAGCGTTCCCCCGTTTTTACTTTTATTCTTAAATGAAACAGTTTTAAAATTACATAAACCGAGGGAAAATAGAGTTGACCGTGTCACCTCTGTGATACCCGTACGAATTTGTTATCCTGTGTACGAGTAAATATGTCATAGCTGACTTTGGGACAGACTATGACATTAAGCTTCCATATTACAATATTATTTTGTGCAAAATTTCAGTACTGTATTTTCAATATTTCTTAAGATATGGTCAAACTACTTTTGAAGTTGTATGGCAGCTACCACAAGGAGTCAAGATATTTCAACAATTTTTATCACACATAACAGCTCCAATAATGCACTTTTTTCACCAAATTTCTATATTATAACTCCAATAATTTCTGAGATAATATCAAATAACTTTTGGAAATGTAAGGCAGTTATCACAACTGCTCACGAGATCTCAACAACTTTTAATGAATATAGCTGCCATTTTATTTTAAATTTCAGTACTATAGGTTGAACAGCTTTTAAGATATAGCCAAATAACTTTTATATGTCAGCTACCAGTAGGAGCTAAGCTATATGTCAGCTACCAGTAGGAGCTAAGCAATTTCAACGACTTTTGCCAAACACATTGGCCTTACTAATATATTTGCTTGTGCGAAGTTTCAATAACACAGATTTTATAGTTTCTGAGATATAGTCAAATAAATTTGGAAGTTGCATAGCAGGTACCCGAATCAGTACCTCGATTATAACCAATTAAATATGGTTCTGGATTAACTCTGTGGAAATTATCCAAAACCCGATAAGTATTTTTTTGCAATTTTACAGTATCGCAATTTTAAAGTTTTAAGAAAAAACCCTTTTTCGTTCATGTTTATTTTTCAAACAAAATAGTGAGCTAGTAAGCTGGGGTTTTTTATTGGAGTAATATAGTATTAGAGTAATATATTAAAATAGTGTTCAGGTTGCTTCAACCTTTTGGGAATATAAAATTGGTGGGGTGAAAAACTCAATCGGGTTTTGGCAAATTATAAGTAACGTGGGCCATTTTAATAGTATACTCTGCCAAAAAACGATTTTCAAAGAAATAATAGTCTTTATAACGTTATGTTTGTGTTATTATACTTCATATTTTTAAAAATGACCACAAAAAGAAAAAAAAATTTTATTAAAAGAACTATTTCTTTCTTATAATTTTCGTCATTGTAAAAGATATTGTTCAAGAAAAATTTTTTATTAAAAAACATAAATTTATTCTTTCCATAATATTTTTTAAAACATAAAATAACAAACAAAAATTTATATGAAGTTCAAAAATTTTAAAATAATGATTTATCATAAAATATTTCCATTATCTTAATCAAATTGGGTAATAACCAGCTACCATATCAGTATCATAGGAAATGCGAAAATAGGCTTTATAAAAGTTAATATGAAATTACTTAATTTTTACAAAGAAAAGAAATTTCGTTTCCATAACTTTTTTTAAATATAAAAAAACAAACAAAAAAGGTATTTATACATATTTCAAAAATAAAATAGTATTATTATTAATTAAAATAATAGTAAGCTATCAATTATTAGCCTTTTTTATAATATATTTGTGTACTATGCATGCAAATCAACATCCTCTTAAGACAAGTAGTTGCAACTTGCATCATTATTGGCTTTAAAATTTTTACAAAATTCGTGACAAGAAATTAAATGTCAATTAAATGTAAAATTAACAATAAATCTGCCTTTTTTTTGAATTTATGAGATTATTGTCCTTGAGAAATCTATTATTTTAAGGTTCGTTTCGTCTTTCAAGTGGTATTTAAAATAAACATTACCCAAGTTTTTGGTGATTCTTATCCACCTAATTTTAAGCCAATTCACAGGATTATCGTTTCCTTTTTTCTTTTTATAAGAATTGTTTTACAAAAATGTGAAAATATCTTGAAATCGTTTTGTGTCATTTGAGACACATTCAATGGAATTTTACCTGTGACGGTACGAACAAAATTGCACCAATCATATAACATTACACAATAACATTATACTCACGTCACAGGTTTTTTGCTCCTTTCAATGCGAGCGAGATCTGAATCGCATTCTAAATGTGTATGGCCAGGTACAAGGAATTTTTGTTCGATGTATTCAACATTCGTTTTTTGTATTACCGTCATTTACATGGCCGTCATGTTTAAATTTCTATTCTGGCCACCACATGTATCAGAGTACATTATACTTGATTGTTTCGGGTAATGAGATAACTTTTTTAAACAAGCACGAAGCATGTTCATGGGATCCCCGTCCAGCCACAGTTTCGTTCCACATATAACATTCTGTTTGCTGGTTAAAACAATCTCTTACCGTTACGGTATGGGACATATCGGGTTTTGGCATACTTGTATAAGACTGTTAAATGGTTTTACGGTTTATTCCAAAGAACGATATGATAAATATCGGGTTTTGGCAACGGTATGATGTTGATAAATGGTTTTATTAAACTTTACCGGGTTATGGTTTTATGCACCAACGAACGCTTTACCTCTTGCATTGAATTATGAGACTTCGTCGCAGCAAAGATCTCATATTTACCATTCCATTTTCATTAATATCTCGATTTTGCCAAAAATCGACTTATCGGGTTTTGGAAAATTTCCACAGAACTATAATAAATCATTTGTGAAAATTTGATGAACTTAGCTCAATTAGTTTTTGAGTTATCGTTGGGACGGACGAGCGGACGGGCGGACAGACCGGCAGACAAAGCTAAATCGACTGAGATGCTAATAACTTGAGTCTATAACTCAGACCATTATCTCTTATCGTTACAAACGGTAAAGCAAATTTAGACATACGTTCGTACGGGTATAAAAAGAAAATCATCTACTCTTCTGCTTGTTAATTCATGAACCGCTGTTTATTTGTTATCCACCAGAGTGATATTGCATTTCTTGTAGTAATGTAGACATTTAATAAATTATGATTAAATTTCTTACACGCAACGGCTTTGAATCTTTTTGACACGTTTCTGTTTACACACCTTTTTAAAATAAAATAAAGAAATTTTGTATAAAAGTAGATCTGGGTTGAGAAATCACTTCTCTAGAAAAATTTCTCATTAAGTTCAGTTTCCCTAAAATTGTGAAAATGCAAAATTTTCACAAATTACTGAGTCCGAAGCAAAAGCAGTTTGTCAATTCTGTATATGCAGGAAGATTAGGAAGTATTTCTTCTATTACAAAAAAAAATTTCCATTTGCCCCTTTTACGTAAAAATTGACGTTATGTGTTAATTAAATAGATTCAAGCTTTTTTGAAAATTGATATTACGCTAAGATTTCACCTAACAAATTCTGGGGTTCACAAAATTTTGCTTAGCCTAATTAACATACGTAATTTAATAATTTGAATCCATATTTATAGCATTATGTCAAAACATCGTTTTTATTAATTACACCTTAAGCTATAATTCAAGTCCTAGAGTTACATTGTCAAAAAAAATGTGTCATATTACAAACCAGATTCATTTTTCGATTGATGTTGCAGATTCCTTAGAATATATACATATGGCCAATATACATATATCCATTTACTTTTACAAAAACGACTTAATTCCAATTTCGTAATTAAAATATTTTTAGAATTGTTATTTATTTTATACTTTTTTTGAATTAAGCACAATTCAATTTAATCTGTAATATTCAATTTTCAACTGAAAAATAATGTGGCACATTATGCAGAAAACTGTTTGCTTATCTTTTTCACCAATACTTTTTTCAATCACAATTGCTATTCACCAAAAATAACAAATACATGCATATGCGTACATTGCACGACATACGTGTACTTCTCAACAAAAATTTGTACTTTTAAATTACTCTACACTCTATAATATACATAAGTGTTGGTTTCCATGAGTTTAAAATTTTTTATGTGACCAAGTTAATTGACTTTTAATTTTAGATGACATCATTTTTCTAAAAAAAAATTAGTTTTTATTTTTTTTTTTTTCAAAATTTACAAAACAAAAAAAAATTGTATTGTTCGCCGTCAAAGATTTCTTATCACCTGAGTTCACCTGATTTGTAATTTTTGAAATATTTATGAGCTTTTCAAAAAGAGAAAAAATGAAAAACAATAATAAAAATTACTTTCGGTAATAAATAAGTAATTCAATTATTTTATAAGGTAATGGTGATAATTTGTGAATATTTTATTGCAATTTTTATTTTTTATTTCAAAATTTTTGAATTTCTTAATTGAATTCTGCGTTTCAAATCACTAAGAATCTCAAGTATTGTAGAAAATTGTAATAAAAATCTACATAAATTTGGTGTTAATAAAAAATCTTTCCAATAATGAAGAAATACAATTTTTTTGGCCAGCTTACATTAAATAAGCAAAAAAAAATAATTTTATT